TAAAGAGGCTTTTGACCTTACAAGACGAAACAGTAAGTAATAATAGAGACAGTTAGCTTTCTAAAAAAATGAATACTTTTTTTTTTCCTTTTCTTTTGTTGCCTCCCACATTATCTTTGACACCACGACACCTTAAAGGTACCTTTTCATCTCGTCATTACCCAGCGCGTTGCGGTTTCTCACGCCACCTCCCTAACACGCTTCCAAAAAAAAAAGTGACGTGGAAAAAAAAAACCCAAATCACCAAAACAGCGCCTTACCTACAGCCTAGGAGTTGTCACCCGGGCTTTAACCAGTATTTTGGGAAGGGACCGTCATTCACTGACCCGGACTGTCATAGTAGCCCCTCTGCGTAGCGTTATAAGACCGGAGGCTTTAATGTGCTGCCAGCGGATGACACGGGGGGGGGAACCTGCCTGTCCTGCCCCCACCGCTGTCACAATAAGAGTCTCCGCCAGCCCCGGGGACACGGCATTTAAGGGCAGGTTTTGGGCAGGTGCCCGCACTCAGCAAATCACGGCGGCGGGAACCTGCCTCCCCGACCCCGGGCCGGGGCTGACCCCGCCGGCAGCCGGGTACGGCCGCGGCTCCGCGGTTCCCCGGGGCTCCGCGGTTCCCTGGAGCCGCTCTCCGGGCCCCCGGGAGCCCCGCACAGCCCCAGGAGCCCCGCACGGCGGTGAAGCGGCCGAGGCTCAGCGCTCTCACTCTGCCCCATCCCCGTGTTCAGCGGGAGAAGGGGAAGAATTGGAGAATTTGGGGGGTTTTTTTGCAGCGAGGAAGGACCCCTGCAAAACGCTTAAACGTCCCTAAATCGTCATCTCAGTGAAATCCCCCTTTTTTAATTCACTTACTAATTGGCTGTAGCTGATTGCCTCTGTAGCGGTAGCAGCGTTACTGCTTGTAAAGCGCTGTGTGTGTGTGTACGGAAAGGCAACGGATACTTGAAAAACAGCCGAAAAATGTTAAAATAACTCCCCTGCAGCACTCCCGAGCGGTACCGGGGCCGCTGCCCGCACCTTCGCTCCGGTACCGAGCCTCATCAGGAGCAGCGGTGCTGCTCTCCCGTGTGTCTGGAGAGTCATCAACTCCATCGGGTACTTGAACAGACTGAGTAATACACGCGGTGGCAAAATATCAGTCGATATTTTGCTGCCTGTGTACATTGAATTGTTGGAAATTACTTTACAAAGTTCAATTGACTTGAATTAAAAGACGCAAGTTTTCTGTATCCCTTTAACCAAAGGCTTCAGTGCTTAATTACATCTCAAATTAACACTATAGTGTTTTAAGTATCTTAATTATATTTTGGCAACTCTTGCCTGACATACCCACGCTTTCCAACACCCCAACCCCTGAAGTTCGGTACTCGGTCTTTCCCTTGGCGCTTCTCTCCCTTCCCTGAGTCCTTCAGCACAGCGATCTTCAAGCATTAATCCACGTTTAGTGTTTATATTTAAGCATCACCCTACCGTTTGTGAGCTCAATCCGCATAGCAGGTGTTAATTGAGTGCTAATTTATTTAAATTCCTCGCGATGGAAGTGATTAAGGGAGGAAGCGCGTCCCTGGTTGTTGCAGCGGTTATTTGCTTTTAGAGTCAAAAAAATAAAAATGCGCAGTTTGCACAGAGAGGGTTGAGTCCTTGAAAAAAAAAAAAAGAAGAGGTAACTGTAGGATGATGATTTGCCCTGTAGGAAGCTGTGAGCATGTTAAAGGTCAGGCTGTGCTCACACAGGCTCCCGGGGCTCCCATCGACTTCAATGAGGGTGCCCTGTGCTTGTTTCAGAACTGAAGCTGGCTGCAAGGCATCGATTTGAGGACAGCTTTATGGACCAAAAAGGCTGGACACAACTGGGACGACTTGTGTGAAAGAGAAGGAACAGAAAAACGTGAGATGAAGAAGGTAGGAAAAACCCCTGAAAGAACTAGAAGCTGAACTGATAAAAGGGTTAGGAATAAATCTCATAGCTCTGCTGGGGTAATTTAATAGTACCCTGACCAGGGCTGCGAGGTGTTAGAAATCAACTCTTCTGTACTGCTGCAGTTTACTTTCTATGAATGGTGACACGTTGCATCCGATCAGGTTCTTCTAGTTACTTGAGTCATAGAGCAACAAATGTCTAGAAAAAAAAGCTGAGAATCATTTGCTTATATATTATTAAGGAATTCAAAAGCTACCTAAAAGACCTGGCAGTATACTTACTGCCTGAAGCCTCTTCTTTTGCTTGGATTAAGTTCCTTTAAGAAAGTTAATAATATCAGTATGGATTTTGTTCTGCTTCTTTAAGGCTGTTGAGAAGGAGACGCCGTAAGGAGTAGCTGGTAGTGGCAGTCTTCTAGAATTGCATTTTCTAGCTTTTGTTGAGTGGCCGTTGCTAAGCAATAACGTGCAGAAGTATGAGGACAAGGACTTCATTCATTTTTACAGTTCTTCCCAGTAATAGCTTTGTTCTGTCATCACTGTTTTTGTCGGTATTTCTTTTTGTCTCCATTAAGTAATAAAGTTAATAATACAGTATAGATTTTGTTCTGCTTCTTTAAGGCTGTTGAGAAGGAGACGCCGTAAGGAGTAGCTGGTAGTGGCAGTTTTCTAGAATTGCATTTTCTAGCTTTTGTTGAGTGGCCGTTGCTAAGCAATAACGTGCAGAAGTATGAGGACAAGGACTTCATTCATTTTTACAGTTCTTCCCAGTAATAGCTTTGTTCTGTCATCACTGTTTTTGTCGGTATTTCTTTTTGTCTCCATTAATACAGTTGCAACCACATACGCTACATGAGAGAGCTATATGACTAAATCTGTCTAACAAGACAGTTATTGTACAGCTTAGTCATTAGACATGATTGCTTAGTTTGAGGTAACGGCCAAATTTACCGTGTTGAGACCCATTCATAATGATTTTTCAAAGCACATGGCAATAAGACTGTGGGATTTAAAGATATTTAAATGCTCATAGATGGGTATATCTAGAAATTTTAATTGTTTTCTGTCTGTATCTTGAGATTGTTAAATGCCTTTCAAAATCCAGTTCAGCGTTCCTGTGAATTAAAAGCACTCTGCAGTTTCATACACTAGTTAATGTTTTAAATAACCCATTTTTTTAAAAGCTGTTGCCTAGCTGATTTTGGTGGAACATTATGTCTGTCTCTTCATGCAGGACGTTGGGTACTGCATTTCAAACTAACCAGAACTTCAAAAATAATGAGGTAACCACAGCTCACTGGTACTGCTGCAAGCAGAAAACTTTACAAGCAGTCGTTCCAAGCAGCAAGTATCATCTAAAAGAGCTTCCCCACAAGCTGCTTGTTAGAAATCCCAAAATACAGGCTTTGAGAAACCTGGAGAGGATGGAAAATCTAGTGCCATTCTAAAAGGACAGCTAGCAAATGTTTCCTGCTCTCCCCTTTCCCTCCAAGAGGTACTTATGGTAGAGATTCTATGAAAAGTTTTAATTTTTGCTCAGTAGACAATTAACAGTCTGCTCTTGTTTAAAATGATCGTCAGGTGAAGGTTACAAGCAATGTGATTGTTGGTCCATGTTGGATACTCCCAAGCAAACAGCCTTATCTCTGAGGGGTAGTTGATGGTGAATTGAATACGGTGCTGCATTCACATGCTCAGCTTGGGGTGTCTGAAGGCACCAACAGCTGATGCACAGCTTCTTTTCAGGTTGAAGGAAGCCCTCCCCAGCTCTGCCGTGCTGAGGTCTCCTACAGTCTCTACCAGTCAGCTTCAGTCAGGGCTTTGACTCCAGTGGCTCTACACAGGGTCCTGTCTGATTTCTCTGGAGCAAGCCTGCATTTCATGTAAGGGCTTGAAGTTAAACTGAGAGCCTCCTCTTAGCAAACTGCAGGTTATGGAAGCAAACCCATTTTTACTCAGTGATGTAGCAAAAAAAACATACCCCGTGCACAGAGAAATCTATACTGAAACATGATCTCTCCTGTAGTGAATTTGGAGGAGGATGCTCAGAATTGTTAAAATAACCAGTTTAGTTAAAGCAGCTGAGTACATCCAAAAATACTCCATAACAGAGAGGATGTTTTCTGCCAGGGACAGCCATTGACACACCATGTAACAGGATCGCTGCAATGCCCCGCTGGCATTCGGCTGGGAGAGGAGGCACACGTCCACCTCCAGCTCTCCCCTTCACACTCTGGGGTGCTGGGCTTGGACCTTTTAACTGGTGCCTCTTGAAGCCTTGGTTATGCCAATAAACACCCGAGAAACACAGCAAAGATCTGAGATGGAATGGCTAAGATGTGCGTTCTAACTTGTTTTGTTTCTTTGAACAATTAAACAGAATAACTAATAATGCAATAAGTACAAAGTTACCTGAGAGCTGCATTTGGGGCGGAAATTGGATTGAGGCTTGTTTTAAGAGGGAACACTTTATTCTTGGGGGAAAATCTCCACCTCCTGGGAGAGGATTGTCCCTGCTATGGCATGGGACAGTTTTCATTCTATCCTGTGAGTTACAGGTTTAGTACTTTTCCTCCACAGAGTGCTTTGCAGGCACAATCTGCACCACACTTACAGGATCTTGAGATCTCGAGTTCTATTGCTGTCTTACAGAATGGGAAACAGAAACATGAGGTGATGCTACTTGGCCAAGGCTACAGAGGAAGGTGGTGGCAGCAGAATTGTACCTTGAAATTTCCCAGGTACAAGTTCTGCTGTGGAGCCAAGGGTCTTCTAGAGGCTAATTATTTGGGATGACACTTTTAAAGCTACTTACAGAGAGGTATTTCTGAAAATACCATTAGGCACCTACCAGAGCCTTTAGATAGCTCCATACTTTGCCAAATGGAGCCCGTGCTGTTCTGCTGAGCTGGTGTTACACGTTCCCATTGTTATGTAGGCAAACAGCTCAGGTTACTGCATGGGCACGTTTTCTCTGTTGGGGTTTGGGGCACGGGAGCTTGGCAGTTGTATTTTTTGTGGTCTCTAGAAAGTTCATCCCCTAAGTATTGTGTATAACTAACCCAGGGATGTGATTTTGTCCTACCTCAGAGGTGAAGCCTGAGGTGAATTCTCATAAGCTCCATGAAAATCTTCAGCTTCGCTCTTGGAGTTGATCTGGCCGAAGTTTGTAGCTTCTGCTCGTCTGCCCAGCCCTGGGGTCTCTGTGCTGTAGGACGTGTCACGGTCCTTGGCTCCTGTTTGGCTGTTCCTGGGGAAGGTGGATTTCTTCATGGTGACTTGCACAGCTGGCCTGTGGGCAGCACCCGCAAAGCTTTCCAGCTCTTTTGCTCCTGGAAGTAGAATTGTCCACAAGTCAGGTAGAAAGCAGTGGTGGTTCACCAGTACAGCAAGCTGAGTAACAGGAAGGGAAACTGGTGTGTCTGTGCAGGTGGATGAGAGTCCAACCTGCCTGGGGTCTGCATAGGCTGCATTGGCCAAATCTGACTTCTCACCAGGGCTGGTGAGCTTTGCTTTACACACAAGGTGCTGTTCTGTTTGGAGATGGTTTTCAGCACAACACAGACAAGTCATGGCTTAAAATAAACGAGGTGTAGATACAGCCAATGCATTTGACTAAGCTGGGGTTGCTGGAAGGATGAAGCTCAGGGCTGAGATTCCTCTGTGAGAGAGAGCAACATCTCCACCTTGTCGCTCTTGACCAAGGAGGAAGAGCATTTCTGCTTTTTTGGACCCAAAACCAGAAATGCAGAACAACTTGCATCCAGCTTTGAGAAGTACGCAAGCAGACTGCATTTTTGAGGCATTTTTCTCCTCTTTAGCCTGCAAAAATGTTAGGGTCTGGCTTCTGCTTGGCAAATATCTGACTCTGCCTGATGCTGGGCAGCAGCAGCTTCCCTCATGCTTAGTTGCTCGGCTCAGAGATCCATGTGTTTACCTGGGGAAACAGAGAGACGTGCACTGGATGCCACAGATCCAAATTCATTTTCAGCAACACATTTAAATATTCCAGAGTCTTCCGGAAAAGCTTCTGTAATAACCAGGGTGCAGACTTCCTCTGAAATGACAAATCCAGGCTGTTGTACCATAAAAGCCAAATGTGAACTTGTAGGAATTGGTCCTTGCAGAAGGAGTGCTACTTAGTGATGGGGCTTGGCAGCAAGAAAGTGCAGAAGAGTGATGTAAAGGGCATAGGAATCCAAGGGATTTAGCAGGAGCAAAGGTGGAGGAAGGATCTTTCTTCCTGTGACTTTAAAGAAACAAACCTCAATTTGTTTTTTGCTGAACTCTGTCTTCTCTTGCACAAACTTAAACCCTAGAAATGATCACAGGTCAGAATGGTTTTGTTTTCCCTTAACAGCTAGGGAACATGTTCCTTGACTGAATGTAAAAGGGATGATACCTTTTTCATTGTGCTGTGAAATAAATTAGGGCCTTTCAGGTGCATGTGTCAAAACCAAGACCTTGAAAGCTCTCAGCCTGACACTGCGTGCTGAGTTCTGGCTCCCCTTTGAACATAATTGTTTTATCTTGGATGAGGTGGGAAAAACTACGCTTGGAGTAATTAACCAGTGAGGTGTCTAACAAAAAACCACACAGTGCACTTACCAGGAACAGCTGACGAACAAGCCTCTGCTCAAAATAAGAAAGAAAAAAATTAAATGGTTATAATGCCAGAATGGATGAAAGACTTTTAGCCCTCACCTCCTTTCCCCCCTCAGCTGTCACCCTGGTTACAAAAGAAAGGTTACCCCTTTCTGTCCATGAAGAGAAATGCCATCTAGAGGGGGGAAGCTCAGGTCTGGCTGGGGAACCCCATGGTACAAACACCTCTCCACTGGGGTGATACTGAGAGAGCTCCACTGGCTTTGGAGTTAGTTGCTGTGAATTTGCCACTGGAGCTATGACCTCGTGCCTGGGAGTATGATAAATGTTTAAAATATGCTTATAGTTTTTTTTTTTTTTTCTCATCAGTAGTTATAACCTGTGGTGACAATGATGTTATGGCTCAGTTATGCTTTAAGCTATCAGCATGGTGATCTCCCTCCCTCGTGCCTGAGCTGCTCAGGAGTTGCCAGGGGAAGTGTGGTCTCTGCACAGCAGTCGATTGCTTCAGGTCACTTCATACTGGTAAACTTAACTCTGTGAACATGCTCTGCCTCTTAGTTTTTATTTTTATGGCAGTTCACAGAATCACAGAATCGTAGTGGTTGGAAGGGACCTCAGAGATCATCGAGTCCAACCACAAAAAAAAAACCAAACAAAAAAACACATCAAAAAAAAACCCCCAAAACCACCACCCACCACCTAAACACACAACAACAACAACCAACCAAAACCATCACCCACCCACACAACATCCCACCACAAACCAATAATCTTGGGCACTAGAGCATGCCCTGAAGAGCCATGTCTACACGTCACAGTTCGTGCTTCTGTCTTTTCCCTGTCCCAATAAAATTACTGTACAGCAGGCAGACCTAGTAATACTTACTTTTTCGTAGTATTCGGAAATCAGCAGAGTCGATTATTGGATCATATTCCCTGTACCAGTGAACCTGTAAGGTGGGTGTAGCGCGAATGCGACACTCAAATACCACTAATTGACCCCTTGTAGCTCTTATGTTTTGTAGACCCTGGAGGAGGAAAAATTGGTGTTAAAAGGCTGACATAATTATTTGCCCATTGAAGCAATTATTATGGGGTGATGCACCCTTTAGTGGAGAAGATGATCTCGTGCTCGTATTTTTATTTTGCTTACCCCATATTTTTATTTTATTTACAATAGCTGATTTAATTCTAAATGCATTTGTAGTGGGTTGTGAGCAGAGTTTTTTCACCTGTATACCAGTGTTCATTAAAAGGCTTTAGCTTGCTTATGCATTTAAATAAAGACACAGATGCAGGAAAACCATCTATTCCAGTGGATACAACATAATAAGGGAGGTTACTCTGAGAGGTTTCCTCTTCAGCCTCCTTTGTAGGAAATAAATGAGGTGAATTCACGTAAGTGGTTCTGTCTGCCTGGATTGTTTACCAGTTAAGATGTTAGTTTGATAGCATCACTGATGAACCATGCTGGCGTTTTTGAATTGTAAATGAACCAGTGTTCCAGCCTCGAATTACTGTCTGATGGAGCAAGAAAACTCTAAGTCTAACATTAGTAGTTGCAGAACAAGCGATGTCATTCAGACAACCTGTGCTCTTTACCTTTGTAAACACAGGTGTGCTTCCGTAGGCAGCTCCAGTCAGGCTCGCCGAGGGACTCTGCATCTAAATACCAAAGAAAAATGATTTTTATAGCTTGAATTTCTCATATGCAGGAACCTGGCCGCGTTGCTGGCACTTTGGAACAGAAGAAGATGCCAGAACGTTTTATCTGCTGTTCATGTGCCAGCCTAATAAATACCCTGTGGAGAATCTCCATTCAGGTGCTCCAAGAGGAAATGCCTCCCTGGTCTGTGAACACCAAGTCAGTGGAAAGAGGAGCTGCTAACTGGTAAGTGTTGCTGGTTTTATAGCTGTAAGTCAATTTATTGCCCACATCTTGTAGTTTCTATGATCAGTGTTGCTTGCCAGTAGTTGTCCCCTTCTACAGAGGGAGACACCTGGTTTAGGTGATCCCAGGTCTAGCTCTTCTTGGCTTGTGTGGTGTATGTGGTGACTACAATGGGGCTGAAGGTGGAGAAACAAGAAGGAACTTTGGTACTCTTTCCTGACATCCTCTTCTAAAGCTCAGCTGATGCAGAGTTTACAATAAGCTCTCTGATTAAGCAAAAAAGGAAGCCCCTTGAGCATTTTCAGCCCTGTCCTCTGCTCTATCAATTCTCTTAGCAATTCTGGCTAGGAAATGTTCCAAACCAGAAAACCCTTTTCCAGATCTTAGGGTCTAGATCTTGATATTCACGATGACCTTTGTCTCTAAGTCACTTGCTGAAGATGGGCTTGACCTAATCCTTGCAAAACATTTCTAAAATACTGTAAGTAATAATTTAAGAAATGTGTAACCTACTCTTTGAGGGTCAATGGGTACTGACTGTATTAAAGTGGTGTAACTCTGGTGGACTAAATGGCTGCTAGAAACTTCATTGGCTGAGGAACCAATGGTCAGCAAAACACTGGTAGTTTTCCCCTTTTTCCTAGCACGGGAGAAAAATAAACAGGGCAGGATGGAGATGGAGACTTTGGGATGCTGACCATACTTGATCCAACAAGGTTTGCACTTACTGTGACATTCCTCTGGCCCTGCCGGGATGGTGAGACTTGCAAGGAGGCTTTGCCTTCAGATTTACTCTATGAACCTGGAGAGACAAACATAGATCAGTGTCTTTAGAGGTATGTCCTTTTCCTTACAACACAGTGGTGGCTGTGTTTTGTGAACTGAGCAAATGCTGTTTGGAGAGCAAGTGGTATGTGCCAGAGAAAATAGAAGCACCCTTAGTGTCTGAGAGTAGGCTCAGGTCACCTCAAGAGCATAGAGACATTTAACTGAGGTTATTGATATGGACCTCTGTAATAGACAGAAGTCACCTGTGAAAGCTGACTGCATGGTAGAGTTAGGGCTTGTCTGGATTTGGATAGAAGAGTCTAAAGAAAACCCTTGTTATTTTAACTGAAGTGAAGATGGTACCTCATAAACCAACGACCAGATCCTTCTCACATGAGGACTGTAGCATAGTGGATTGACACAGAAAAACGTAGTTACTGGTAGCTTAATACCTCACAATGGTAATGAAAGATTTATCGGTTTAATCTTTGTTTCTCTTTTACTGTGGCAAGAGAGGTTTTTCTTGGTGGAGTACTGCAGGCTAATAGTCCTGCTTCTCCTGAGCTGCATTAGTGAAAATTCTGGTCCTGATAAATAACTTGCATCATCA